GGCCTGTTGACAAGTGGAAAGTGAATTACCATGCATTTTGTAGGTTTTCGGAAATGTTTTTGAGGAATGAGACATCATTGCTACAGTGGAAATGTGTCGAAGGCATAGTTCCCCACAAAATTGTCATCAGTTCCCTGATGCTGTGTGAATTAGTTTCTTCTACGGAACAAAAAAGAAGATATTTAAAAAAAAAAAAATCCTCAGAGTTGTTTTGGACCCCATTGACATTCACTGTACAGACCCCAAAAAAGACAACTTTTTCTCTCTGATTTGACCTTCCGTCCACACTGAGATGTGATTTTTGTCCTGCGAAAACTGAGCTTTTTGAAAATGCTTTCCCAAGTGGGTAAATTTGAAAAAGCTGTTTTGTGGACTGTGAAAACATAGGTATTTGAAAACGATGACGCATGTTAAGTCATGAAGGCGAGTAAATGGCGGATGAATAAATTGCCTGGTTGGACCCTTCAAAATATGACTTTTATTAGTGTAACATAGTCTAGGCAAAAGTTACTTTCTCTACATCTAGAATATTTCATTCATTACAGAATCAATGACAGCATGAACATTTCTCTATTGGTGCAAATCAAGAAAAGACAAGCTCATGAGAAATGATAATTCACTTCCTTCAAAAGTAATTATCACTCATAAAATGTATTTTGGTATCACTTTACAATAAGGTCCCATCAGTTAACATTAATGCTTTAACTAACATGAACTAAAAATACATTTGTTACAGTAGACCTGTATTAATCTTTGACTTATTGATCTTTGTTAACGTTAGTTAATACAAATACAACTGTTCATTGTTAGTATGTTCAATAATATTAACAGACAAAACTTTTGATTTTAATCATGTATTTGTAAATATTGAAATTAATATTAACTAAGATTAATAAATGCTTTGAATTCATTGTTAGTTCAAGTTAACAAAAGTAGTTAACTAATGTTGACAAATGGAAACTTATCGAAAAGTATTACCGGTATTTTTCACCCATGTTTTCCACAGGATCATCTAAAAACAAAATTGATTCTCATTATTCTCACCACATACGAAATGTGATTTTTACTTTATTGCAACCTTGATAGACAGTACTCTTTCTAATGAGCCTGTTGAAGTGTTCTTCATATGACTAATAAGCCATAAATGTAACCATCTGAATTCAGCGGAGAGTGGTAAAGAATATTTGATGGGGTGCAATGACACCATTTGTCGTTTTATTAGCATTAAATGACGTGATGATGTGTCTCAACGCAATCAAACATAATTAGACAATTAAAGCCTGCATGCCACCAGTCGATTATCATTTCAGTACTTTGTTCATGTTTGAGAATTGCGTTCATTGCATGTTAAGCTGGTTTTCCAGCAAGTAGCCTACGTATACGCAAGTGTGCGTCTGTGACATGATTGGGTCAGTGTAAAATGTGTCAGTACTGAACAGTTTAGCTGCTCACCTGTGCTTTCTCTTTTGCGTTCGAGTGGTCTGATGTGTACGTTTTTATCAGCTACCTGTTGGTTTTCTCATATTTCATCATTGTGAATATTGGTGTGCGTGCGTGTCGGGGAGGGAGGGTGGCGGGAGTGGGTTGTGGGGAATGCTGGGAGATTTTAATAACGCAGAAGCAGTGCAGTGAGATTTAATAAAAGAAGATGATGTGATTACTGAACCCTGGCTCTGAGCCACCTTCCCTCACAGCAATATCCGCTCTCTTTCTTTCTCTCTCGCTCATACACACACACACACGCGCGCACAGCACCAACCCTTGCAATTATGTGTACATGTATGATTTACATACTGACTCCCTATATATACAAAGATGCACCAAAGTCTGTGGGATAAACCTTGCAACTATGACAGTAAGTGTTTGATTATGCAAAATTATGTGTTCGTGCATGGATTAGGCCCCCACACTATGATTTGGCTATAGATTTATGTAAAACTTTATTGAATTGACATCATGAACACAACTTGTTCGTACATATCGCCAGATTTTTTTTTTCCTGCACCCATAATTTCTTTCCCCCAAGGTAGTTTCATCCTCAGTTAACTCTGGTTGTATGAAATATATTGTTATTTTTGTAACCATTTTTGCAATCATGTTTAATGTGTCTGTTTGCAGTGGGTTTTTTTTTTCCAAGAACATTTTATCCCCCTTTAAAGTTTGTGGTGAATGTCACAAAAACATGTCCCGATCACATCTCAAAAATATAATTTCTCACTTATTTATTTTGTGAAGTATGAGCCGGGAATGTTCTAGACAGGTTTCATGCGATACACTCTTACGGTCAGTTGCTGAATGAATGTTGCTCAGGGATTTTAGAGTTGGTCTGCTTTGATCTGGGTGTAGTAGGTGGTGATTTGGGTAATTTGGCATTTTTGGCAGATGGATTGAGACAGATTAGCCATAGCAGCTGCGTTTCGGACAGGATCATCATATCTGTGCAGATTAGAGGCTATAATGTGTGGACCTGGCTGGCTCTTCCTTCAGCAGATTTCTGATATGACACCTTCATCTCCTGCACTCAACACACACACACACACACACACACACACACACGAACTAGGGCAATCCGTCTCTGCAACTGTCATGAAGTCTGTGTTATCGCCTCCAACATGTTTTGTTTTCATCTTATCATGTGTGACAGCATCTAATAATTTAATGTGCCTCTTATACGTGTGCTTTTAATTTCATTAGTGGTCATTGCTAAAGCAGGTTTCAGCTTTATTTACTGCTCATACACTCTAAATGTTTGTTTTTTTCACAGCAATGCCATAGAAGAACCATTTTGGGTTTTCTCAAAGAAACCTTTCAGTCAACAAAACCATTTTTTCTTAGTGTGTAGAACATTTTAAAAACTAAAGAACCTTTTTTTCCACTATTTTGTGCAATGGAAAGATTACATGGAAGTTAAAGGCTCTTCATGGAACCATCGAGTACCTTTACATTTAGGTGTATTTAGGGTTAGGGATCTGAACAAACCCTTAAGCACGAGGGTTAGTTCTAGACATAATGTTCATTTGTTGGGTGAACTATTCCTTTAAATGATCGCTTGTGATAGAATGATGCATCAAATGGGACTGACGCAGGTCCTGAGACCACAATATCATAGACTTGTTTTTTTTTTAAATGGGAAAGCAATCGCCCAGAACACCCTAACAACCACATAGCAACAAACAACAGCCTAAAATCACGCCAGCATGTGTAAACGCCACATTTGACATGTAAAAATCGTTCTATTGTCCAGTTCAGGTGTTTGACAGTAACTTCACATAGGTTCATGCCACATTTTGGGTGAATGGTGACTGTTGCTTTGGCTCAATGAAATGTACACAAGGATTAGATTGTCATCGAGCGTCTACAGGTCCATCTGTGGGTACCTGTCAATAATTATGAGAGTACATGAGCACGGCCGAATATAGGTGCTGGTAAATGTGTGTGTGTGTGTGTGTGTGTGTTTATTCGAGTGTGTGAAAAAGAGAGAGGAGAGATTAACCCCATGCTATCCTCAATCCCTGGTTATGAGTTTACAGCGTCTGTCTGGGCATCGCACTGTTTAAACAACAATCTAATTAATCCTGTCTTTATTAGTTTCACGGAGCTGGGGCGGGAGGACGGGAGGGAGGACAGGGAATTCTGGCAGAAAATATCAAGCGGTGAGGGAGGGGAGAGAGGAGGGAAAAAACGAGGAGTTTGGTGTGGATTGAAGAGCGAGAGTGCCTTTAAAATGAATTGTGATGTTGATGAGCCACGTTAAAGGAAAACACCGTTTAAAGAGAGGCATTTGCGGGCATTGGTAGTGGGACAAATGACCGTCCTAATACATTTGCTCACTTTTGCCCCGTAAGTCACTGTAACTGTTTATAATCTTAGAAAATCATTGGCAAGTTTAAAACATTCACCAAAGCGCACGGTGCTAGCAACACCAATATCACAGGTTCAATGCCCAGGTGATACACTGATAAAATGTACAGCTTAAATGCTTCTGTCAAATGAATATGTGCAAATAAAATTACCCTGTAAAGCCTGACATATAATATAGTCTGTTTTTTTTTGTTTTTATGGGAGTTTTTTTTTTACATTTAGACCAAAAAATGATATGGTGCTCAAACTCAAGAGAAAAAAACACCTCGATTTCTGATAGCTTGTAATGTAAATCAATGAGATTTTTATAACAGTATAACAAACTAGCTAATTATATCAAATGCATATAAATATCAGTCATCTCTCTACATCTCCCAATAATGTTTTAAAATCTTATTTTTGGGATCAAAGGTTTGTAGAATTTATTGTCAGGGGCAAAACATATAATGCAATGATGATCGAGAGATGAACAAATAATAAACGCTCCTCAGAAGCCTGGTGGATCATATTTGAAGCTCACATTTTAATACGATTTTATTTTTAAACCCACAAAAACATATATAATCAAGTAAACCAAGTTGTGTCAGTCCAGTAAATGTTCATCATAGTTAGTTCATTTAGCATATTTAAGTATTTTATAGCTTTTATAAATGTGCCTTAGAAAAATAAACAACATTAGCCTACTGGCACTGACATATTTTAAGATATAAGATATGATTGATCTTAAAACAGCTCAAACATGCATTTTTAGTCTGGGACTAGCTTAAGACTCGTCTGTGAAAGCGGGAGTAAAAGATATTCTTACGTTCTTCACTTAAAATCAGTAAAGATTTCACAGCAAAGATGCGTGTCGTGACCTAAAGGAGGACGTTTTTACAACTACACAAAAAAATCCTCAACTATCAATCAGACGACAGAAGGCATGTACTAGATTGTGTGCGAGTTTTGATGATATTGTTACTTTAGAGGCTTTAGAAACTTGCATATCAAATACAATACAGTGGGATTTATAGGGTTAAATACATTTTTGCTTTGTTGTTTGTGACATCTTGTGCGTTGTCAAATATTGCCACCCAGTGTCACAGACAAAACATTGCATAAAGTGAGCGTTCAGTGACACATGTGTGTGTGTGTGTCAG